AGAGCCGACTCCGAGGGCCCCTCGCTGTCGGAATCTGGTGGCAGCTCCAACGGCTCCTGCTGGGCCACAACATATTTGTATGGTTAATAATTATACAAAAGAAAGGATCAACGGACAGGTGATCTGACTGACTATTTAATGGATACAAAATGTAATTGTTGTAAGATCTAATCGCTATATGGAAACGTTTATGCCAGAAGTGTTGCACTGCGTCCAATGTTTTTAAGGTTTCTCTAATAAAAAAAACTTTTTAATTAAAAAAAAACTTCAAACAATACGTTATTTAAAATACAAACCAGCAGAGGAGAGAGAGAGAGAGAGAGAGAGAGAGAGGGAGAGAGAGAGAGAGAGGGAGGATATGCACAATGAGGGAGCTTAGCGATGAATGATGATCAATCTTGATTCTAACTCTCCTGGCAGTTTGGTTCCCGTGCCGATGTGCCGCTGGTGGAGCTGCAAGTGGCCGACGAGTGGACTAAGCCGGAGCAAGCTGTGGTACACTATAGGACATCATCAGCTTTCCACCGCAGTTCCTGGGATTGGATCGCCGTCTATCGGGTGAGAAGGATGGGTTGGGCGGGATGGTTGACGTCAGTGGTGGGTTCCGTATCCCGTTGCCACCGGTACGCTGCGTACGGGGCCGGGCGTCCTAGTCAGGCATGTGACACCCATCTGCTCGGCGGTGGTCGTGCAGGTGTGCGTGCACAATTGACCAGTCACGTTATAAACAGCCATGGAATGTGGGCGGGCCAAACGAGCCACCGTACCGGTATGGTGGCTGCTGCTCCGGGCTACTACCAGTACGGTCGTACCAGGCCGTACCTCCCAAAACCCACCACTGGATGACGTCCCTTAAAGGGCAGTGTGAACTCTTCCCAGCGGTGGGCAGATAAAAACAGAACGATCTGGGTATCTCGGCGGGCACAAGGGGGCACTGTGGAGACCTCTGGTGATTTCTGCCTCCCTTAGGTGGGTTTCCGACATTGCAAGGACTACATAGCCTATGTATGGGCCAAGCAGGAAGATACGGAGAGCCACCTGTACCAGGTAAGTATAATGGGAGGAAATGGACGTTCCCCTCTGACAGGCCAAAAGTTTGGTCTCTGGAAAAGGCAGCATTCGAGGCGAAGGGCTGGCGTGGTAGTTATATTTGCGCCATGGAGACATATTCTCTCCCGGTGAGCAATGTCATTGGGGATTGAAACGCAGGTCTGGAGGGGACCAAGCCCCTCTCGTCTTGCCTCTGTCCAACCTCCCGGAGTTGGCCTTATGAGAATGAAACGACCAGAGGGAAGATGGGATAGGAATTAACAGAAGATGGAATGGAATGGAATGGAATAAGAATAGAATAGAATAGAATAGAATAGAATAGAATTGGAATTGGAATGGGAATGGGAATTAGAATTAGAATTAGAATTAGAAAATAGGAATAGGAATAAGAATTGGAATGGAATGGAATTAGAATTAAATGGAATAGGAATGGAATTACGAGAATTAGAATGAATAGAATGGAATGGAATTAGAATTAAAATAAGAAAATAGGAATAGGAATAAGAATTGGAATGGAATTAGAATTAAATGGAATTACAATGAGAATTAGAATGAATAGAATGGAATGGAATTAGAATGGAATGGAATAGGAATGGAATAAAATAGAATAAGAATTAGAATGAATAGAATAGAGTGGAGTGGAGTGAAAGGGAATGGAATAGGAATGGAATAGAATAGAATTAGAATTGGAATGGAATTGGAATCAGAATGGAATGAATAGAATAGAAAATGAGTAGAATAGGAATAGAATAGAATAGAATACATTATAATTAGAATTGGAATCAGAATGGAATGAAATTAGAATAAGAATTAGAATGAATAGAATAGAATAGAAAATGAATAGAATAGAATGGAGTGGAGTGGAATGGAATAGGAATGGAATAGAATAGAATTAGAATTGGAATGGAATTGGAATCAGAATGGAATGAATAGAATAGAAAATGAATAGAATGGGAATAGGAATAGAATAGAATAGAATACATTATAATTAGAATTGGAATCAGAATGGAATGAAATTAGAATAAGAATTAGAATGAATAGAATAGAATAGAAAATGAATAGAATAGAATGGAGTGGAGTGGAATGGAATAGGAATGGAATAGAATAGAATTAGAATTGGAATGGAATTGGAATCAGAATGGAATGAATAGAATAGAAAATGAATAGAATGGGAATAGGAATAGAATAGAATAGAATACATTATAATTAGAATTGGAATCAGAATGGAATGAAATTAGAATAAGAATTAGAATGAATAGAATAGAGTGGAGTGGAGTGGAATGGAATAGGAGTGGAATAGAATAGAATTAGAATTGGAATGGAATTGGAATAAGAATTAGAATGACCAGAATAGAATAGAATGGAAAATATGGAATGGAATAGAATAAGAATTGGGATGAATGAGAATTAGAATATGAATCAGGATTATTAGAATGAATGGTTGGTGGGTTTGTGGATCCTCTTCAGCTGGACTTCCATCTGCCCCTCTCTTTGTCTCTCCTCCTCCTCCTCCAGCTGACCTTCCCCGAGGAGTCCCTGCCTAAAGGAAAAGGGGATTACATCCTCGGCTACTACAGCCACAACTCCAGCTGCATAGTGGGGGTGACGGATCCCTTCCAGGTGAGCATCTGAAGGGCAGGACACCCATTTACCTGGAATGACCATCTCGAGGACTGCATTTCTGGTGCTTGGCAACCGGCTCACATTTATGACCAGTTGTGGAGTCCCCTAGACACAAGAAGGACGATTTGCGACGTCTGTTGCGGGTTTCCTTAAGATTGGCAATGACTTGCGACCAAAACTGCAGTCCCAATTTGGTCCTAATTCGAGACCATAGTTCAGAGGTCCAGAAAACTGGATCTTATTTTCTTTTCTATTACTTTCCTTCCTTTGGAAATCCAATTCTTTTTTTTCCAAAGAATTATTTTATTTTTTTATTCCCTTGCATACCATTTTAAGTACACATTCCCATGATTGTTGTTCTTCTTTACATTTGTCATTCTTATTCGTTTATTATTTCATTTAATAAGTTATAATGTACATTTGGGGTTGCTTTATTTACCATCCCTCCATTTTTTTGTAACACCTCCTTGTTTTCCCTTTCTTTTCTCCTCCCCTTCCTTCTCTACTTCCTTCCTCCTCTCCTTCCCCTTCCTTCTTCCCTTACCTCTTCCCTACTCCTACTCTTCCCCTTCCGACCCTCTCTCCTTCTCTTTCTCTCCCTTCCACCCTCCTCTCCTTTCCCTTTCCTTTTTCCCTCCCTCCTCTTCCTTCCTTCCTTTCTCCTCTCCTTCCTCTTCCTTCTTCTATAACCTTTCTCCCACTCCTACTTTCCCTCTTCCCCTTCCTACCTTCTCTTTCTCTCCCTTCCTTCCTCCTCTCCTTCCCCTTCCTTCTTCCATAACCTTTCTCCCACTCTCCCTCTTCCTCTTCCGACCCTCTCTCCTTCTCTTTCTCTCCCTTCCATCCTCTCCTTTCCCTTTCCTTTTTCCCTCCCTCCTTTCTCTACTTTCTTCTTTCCTCCTCTCCTTCCCCTTCCTTCTTCCCTTACCTCTCCCCTACTCCTACTCTTCCCCTTCCCACCCTCTCTCCTTCTCTTTCTCTCCCTTCCATCCTCTCCTTTCCCTTTCCTTTTTCCCTCCCTCCTTTCTCTACTTTCTTCTTTCCTCCTCTCCTTCCCCTTCCTTCTTCCCTTACCTCTCCCCTCCTCCTACCCTTCCCCTTCCCACCCTCTCTCCTTCTCTTTCTCTCCCTTCCATCCTCTCCTTTCCCTTTCCTTTTTCCCTCCCTCCTTTCTCTACTTTCTTCTTTCCTCCTCTCCTTCCCCTTCCTTCTTCCCTTACCTCTCCCCTACTCCTACTCTTCCCCTTCCCACCCTCTCTCCTCTTTCTCTCCCTTCCATCCTCCTCTCCTTTCCCTTTCTTTTTTCCCTCCCTCCCTTCTCTACTTTCTTCTTTCCTCCTCTCCTTCCCCTTCCTTCTTCCCTTCCCTTCGGCGTTGAGTCACGCCGGCCACATGACCATGGAGATGTCTTCGGACAGCGCTGGCTCTTCGGCTCTGAAATGGAGATGAGCACCGCCCCCTAGAGTCAGGAACTGTTAGCACATATGTGCGAGGGGTGCCTTTACCTTTAATTATTCTATTCCACTATTTGTTTGATATCAATATTATTCCTACAGCGAACGTGGTGAATTGGTCATGGCAAGTTGACTGTAGTGAGTGGGGTGCAACTTTGTGTAGTTGTGTTTGCACAA